GGTGGGGGGCTGCCTTCCTGGGATGGCGGGTGGTGGGGAGGCCCTGGGTAATGCCGTTTCGGATGGTCTTCTTGGAGACCTGTGCTTAGGCTTCCAGCTGCAGGGGTGCAAGGATGTGGTGGGGCAGCCCTGCCTGGGGTTTTGGGCTCAGGTCCAAGTGCCAGGCGCAGCTGTGTGGGTGGCTGTGGTGAAGAACTGGTTGAACTGGTCTCCTTGCCTGTTGCTTCTTGCAGGGCCTGGGTTAACCATGGTGACTCTGCCCTGGCACGGCTGGGGCTGGTCTGAACAAAACCTGCTGCAGATCTGGAAGTGGCCTGGGCTGAAGCAAGCAGTGCCTGTCACCAGCGTTCCCCTGAGAGTTCTTGCCCCCAAGGGTTCTTGCAGCGACATCCCCTCCACCCGTGCGGGGCACTGCAGCGGGGGGCTGGCAGCAGGCAGAGCATCCCTCCCCTCGCAGCAAGCGTTGGGCTGCGGCAGAAACTTGTTCTGGGCTGGATGTGGTGGTGGCAGGGCAGCTGAGCTGGCACAACCTGTCCCCCCAGCGCTCTCCTCAGCTCTACCTGTGGCTTTCCCCTGCCACCCTCGTTTCCTGAGGCTGGGATGGTGGCAAACCCCTTGGGGCTCCCCTGGGGGCCGGGCGAGCCCTGCTCCCCTGGCAAATGAGGGAGCAGCACTTTGCACAGGCTCTGTGCAGGACGAGCAAGCTGGGTCTGCCTCTTCTCCTCCCACCACGTCTGCCTGAGTGAGGAAGAGGCAGGTTCCTTCGCTGCCGTGAGGATGCTTGGCGTTGTGCCCAAACCAGGGCTCAAAACCAGGCGGGATCTGGCCTGGCTCTCTGTAGCTTGGGTCTTGCACTGCCTGTGAGCGGACAGGCGCTGCTCTGCCAAGCACGCTGCCTCTTCTCATGCCAGCCCTCAGATAAGCCCTGCATCCGTCTGTCCCGTCTGTGTGGGGCACGGAGGCTGCCGCTGCCTGCCAGAGCGCGTGTCTGTGTGTGCACAGGGGTGAGATCAAAGAGTGCTGTTAAAATGCTCTGTCTTTCCAAGGGATCCTTGCCAGGTGGGGACTTGGCCAGGGGAAGGATCACACCTCTGTCTTGTTAAACAGAGGAGAGGAAGGTGCTCTTTCAAAGCTTTGCAGGTGAGGAGCTCCAGCCCTTGGCTCCGGGTGATGGATGGCTTGGGAAGCAGGTTGTCTGGGGATGGGGGGTGTTGGTATGCACCTGGTTTGCTTTTTGTGTTAATCCTTAGAACTTCCTCCATGTGTGAGCACGCTGCCTTCCAGGGGTTACAGGCAGTTGATCTTGCTCAATTTGGCTTCCTTTGAATTCACAAGGGATTGATCCCCTCCTGGCTCGTGCAAACAGCCCTGCAGAGAAGGGGTTGTCCCATGCAGCCATGGGCTCCTGCGTGCTCCTGTTTTGCGTGGGTACGAACTGAGGTCTACTTGGCCTTAAATGCTCTCAACTCCTGTCCCCAGCAAGGCTTCAGCTTGCTTTAAGCCTTTGGATGTAAATGCAGCAGGGTCTGGTCCTGTGGGCTACAGGTGATGAGCTGTGCTGGTTCCTCCTGCCTGGGACCCTCCAGCAGCTCCGGTCAAAGAGCACCATCGCTGTCATTAGTCAGCGGGATGTTAATGGCAAAGGGGCGATCTCTTGGCAACTGCTTTCCACCCTGTCTGTAGACCTCCACACAGCAAAGGCAGACCCTGAAGCAGGTCTCTGGTAACTCCAGCCCCCTTGGAGGAGAGATCATCCCTCCTCCTACGGTCCACACCAGCCTTTGAGCTGCGGGGACCTCCTGTCTTCATGCTGCTGAGATCCTGGTGCGAGAAGCAGGGCCCAAGCTACGATACCACCATGAAAAGGTAGGGTTTTGCAGCTTGTGGGAGAGCAAAACCATAGCAGAAAGCAAGCCCCTGGCAAAAGAGCCTTGTCCCATGTGTGTCTCTCTCTCCTGAGATAAGCATGATTTGTTTTGTGCCAATTTAAAGAGGACCGAAAGATCACACTGGAAGTGACAATGGACCCCAGGCCTTTGCCTCTGGCCCTGGGTTGTTCTTGGGCTACAGGATACAGGGAAGAACAGCCACAAACCCATGTCAGCATCACAGGCGGCTGGTGCTTATGGGGAGCCTGTGGTCCCCAGATGTTCCTGTCCCCTTCCACCTCCATCCTCTGCCCTCCCTCCCTGGTCCTGCACTGGATAAGGATCCCATGTTACTGTGGGATCTGTGCTGGATGAGCCTGAAACATAGGGTTGCTGGTTTGTGGGAAACTTTGAACTTTATCTGAAACCAAGAGGATGTAGGCAGCCAGCTGGCCCTTGCTGTGGTTTAGGAGAGCTGTGGGGCTGGGCAGCCCCACCATGCAGCACAGAGGCAAAGCCTGCTCTAAGGTCTTGCATAGACGGGGTGTCTAAGTAGAGCCTCAGACCTGGGGCTTTGGGGCTTTGGTACCCAAGCCTGAATCCTGCTGGCTGAGGCTCTGGTGATGCTGTGCTGGAGCTGCTGACCTTCGTTCTGCCGTGAGCCCTTGGTGTTTTGCTGGGAGCCCGGGCCACCTTGTGCTGAGCCTGGGCCAAAAGATTCCTGAACTGCAAAATAACATCACATTCTATGAATTGGTGGTTCCCCAACTGCTGCTGCTGCCTTGGAAAGCTCTTGGTTGGCTTTGTCCATAGGGCTTCTGCTACTTCTCTGGCATTTTAAACAGCTAAAGCAAGATGATGCTTTAAAATGTGTTTCAGTAGTCACAGTATGCTCCGTCAAAGTCACCTTTGCAGACTTTTCCTCCCTGCAAAGGCTGTGCTCTCTGCCCCTCTGCTGGGAAACTGCTGCACGGTTGTGGCTGTGTGTGCCAAAACACGCTCCAAGCCAGGGCGAGGTCTCCCGTTCTCCCTCTGGGGCTCCGCTGTTTCCATCCCAAACTGGTTTTTCGAGTCATTTTTTCATATGTGCCTCCATCTCTGCTGCTGCTCACCTGCGTTTGGGGAGGAGCCTCCCAGAAACTGCTTTTTAGCGCGCCACCAACCTTCCCTCGCTGAGTCTTGTCATTCCATCCCAACAGACCAGAGCAGAGAGCCAGCACCCACAACGACTTTTCAGACTCCGGGAGATCAGCTGGGACCTCGCCAACATGTTCAAGGGGGTGGGCAAAGGCTCCCCAAGCAGAAGTTCCCCCAACAGAGGTTCCCCTGTCAAGCCTAGCAGGTAAGTGCAACTCTTCTCTCTAAGCTGTCCTGTGGATCCTGGGGAAGATGAGGGAAGAGCACTCGATGTCTCCTAAGCCACCCTAAGAACTATTCCTCCTTATGGAGCAGCCAGAAAGTTGGGGCTCGCTGGGAGCTGATGCCAAAACGCGCTGCCCCAGCTGTGGTCCTTGTCTTTGATGGCCTTTGTGCTCCAGCCCAGAAGTGTCCTTGCAGCCCCCGCGATGTGCAGTGCCTGAAGATGTGCTTAGAGCTGTGTTAGTTGAGCAGGGAGGTGCAAAGCCCCTTTTGGGCAGGTATGAGCATGCAGAATCAACACAGCCTCTTTGCTTGGGTGGAGCAAGATCTGCTTGATGGTGACGCAGATACCAGCCCGGATTTGAGATCCCCGGACTCACTGGTTGTGTGAGGTTGGTGTGATGCTGCCCTGGGACCTGGGATCCCTGGAGAGGGATGCTCAGTTTGGTGCTGTGCAGGTGGTGAAGATGGGCGAGGAGTCGGTTTGCTGGTGACTGCTCTAACCCATCCTGGTGACAGGCTGGGTCTCTGCAGGTCAAACAGCTGAGATTGCCTCTTTTAGGCCAGTCTGAGGCAGCACTAGAAGGATCTAACAGCCTTGTCCTCCTCTGAAGAGATTCCCTAAGCTCTGGGGAGCACGACGTGTGATGGGACCAGGATGTTTCTCTAGGAGGGGGTGCTCCTGCAGAGAGAGCGCTTATCCCTCCCTTTGGCTGCAGTTGCTAATTCAGGGTTATTTTCCACCTTCCCTCAGCAGTTTTGCATTTTGTACTGTTAGTGGACTGATTCTGCGGGAATCCCTGTCCCCAGCCAGGGTGAGAGGCTGAGGAAATCGCAAAGGAGATTGTTTTGAAGAGGAGGGGACCTGTAGGGAGAAGTAGGTGCTGGCCCCATCACTTGGGGCCACCAACAGCCGCAGCCCAGAATGATGAGTGTACAGATGCCCAGGTGGACGCAGCACGGTGCTGATATCCAACTTTTATGCCGTTTATGGGGGCCAAACCCAATGTTTGGCCTGAGGAGAGTGGTGGCCACAAAATGTGTTTGTGGTGGCCATAAACAGACACTGAGGAGGGTGGTAGTCTGGTGCTGCTGGGCAGGGCAGCGGGACCTGGGGAGAAGGGGGCTCCCACAAAGACTGAGGCTTTGCTGTGTGGATGTTGGGAGCTGGCCCCCTGCCCTGACATAGGAAGCTTCTGCCTCAGTTGAGCTGAGCACTCACAAACTCATCACAAAGACAGATTTGGGGCTTCTCTGAACACCAAGCCTTTGTCGGGGCCTGTCTGCAGTGAGACACTTCCCCAGAAGCCCTGGAGCTGCATGAGCCTCTGTCCTTAGTCTTGCTAACGCAATCTATCCCCCTCCCCAGCTGGCTTCCAAACCTGGGGTGGGGATTTCTCATGAGGCTTCCTGGGACAGCTCGCTGCAGCCCCCATGGTGCCGCAGGAGGGTTCGGGCCAGGTTCTCCCCCAGCGTGAGCCTCTCGGGATAACTGGAGTCACATCCCAGCGAGACCTCATGCCTCTTCCCTGCGCAGGATGGAGGCTGGAGCCAGAAGCGCAGCAATTACCGAGCTAGTTGTGCTTGTTTTAGGAGGCACCAACCATCAGACAAGGGCTAATTCATTTGGCCATGGCCTGGGGCTTGGTCAGCGCCCTTATTAGCTGAGAAAATGAAGGTGAATGAGTTGTCGCAGGAGCAGCTGCCAGCACACACTCTGCAGATGGCCCCAAGAAAATGTTGATGGCCCATAGCTGCTCTTGGTGGCCCCAAGGCCAAAACTTCGGCACCAGTTGAGGTTCCCAGCCTCTGAGGGTTCACAATTAGTGGGTGCCGCTGCTGGCATGGACCCCTAGAGAGGTACATCGTTTTGGTCCTTGGGACCATGGTGTTGAGCATCCCGGCTCGTGGGGCCCTTTGCTGTCTCCACTTGGTGGATGCATCCCAAGGAGACAGTAGCAAGCACAGGTTTGGCCTTGAGGAGGATCCTCACTGTGCCCTGCTGTAGGAGGAGGCACACTGCAGGGCGGAAAGGGAAAACTCATGAGAAGGTGGAATTGAATCAGATCTGGCTTAACTGGCTGCAATCTTGACAAAGGCCGTGGGTGATTTTTGGAGGTGGATGGCAAGTCATCTCCTGGTTTAATTGTCTCCTGGGATTGCTGCTTCTGCCACCATCTCGCTCTGCTTCTCCCCAGTCAATCTAGAGCAGCGTGGTCCCCGGGGGCACGGGCTCGGGGGACTAACCCAGCGCTGGGGGTGAGGAGGGGGGTTGTTGGTGGTCTGCTGTGAGCAGCTTGGGCTGCAGATCAGAGGGTACGAGGACTTTGGTGTGTTGGGGAGAACAGACCCTGCTTTGGCGTCTGCCTTGCGGCCATAAAGCGAAGTCCCTTGCAAGGAAGGGGTGGAGGGAGTTGGGGGCTGAAGGGGGTGGGTGCTGTGGTGCTGCCCAAGCATGCTCTGGCAGGAGTAACCAGGAGTGGGAGATGGTCCTGCTCCTGCTAAAAGACACCATCCCTTGCGTGCAGTTGGATTGTCTACGAGGCAGAAAGTGGTATGAGAAATGAACCAATTAATAATGATAATAACAGTGCTCTGCCTCTTCTAGGCATGAGATAGCCCTAGGGAGGAGGCCTTCTCTGGCTCTTGAGGAGGAGGTGCAGGAGGAGGTCTGCTGAGCCTTGCCCTCGGCCATCTTGGCCAGCCCGGAGCTGCGGCTGTACACACAAACTGGGAGCGGAGTCGGACCCGAGCCCCAGGAGGCCAAGGGGGTGCCCAACGTGAGCATGGGTGAGCTCATGGCTCCTCATATCCTGCTCAATGCCAGGTTGCCTCTGCAGCCCACGTGTCAGCATCTTCACCCTGAAACACAGAGCCCGGCTGTGGCTGGCTCTCACTGAGTGAGGGCTTCTCCTGGAGGGATGGGGTAGGAGGGACAGCCCCAAAGGATGGTGACATGGCTCGTGGACTGCATGGATGGGTGTCAGTGTGGGTAGAAGAAGCTTGCATTCCTCTTGGTGTGGTCTGTGGTTGGGATAGGAGGGACTGTGGTGGTTTGGGCCCTTCTTCAAGTGCGCATGGACTGAGCAGGTTCCTCAGCATCACTCCCACCTTGACCAAGGAGCATGGTGTGTTGGGGAAGGCTCAGCTGAGGACAGCCAGCTTCTCTGGCCATGCATCGGGCCTTCCTCAGGCTCCCAGGACAGCATGTAGACACCCCTCTCCTCCTGGCACATCTCCTACCCAACTTCAGTGCTCTTCAAGCATCCAGACTGTTCTTTTGCAGACTCCTGGCTCTCCACCCCAGGAGACGCAGGGGAGACCCCCTCTTCTCCTGAGGTGATGCTCTTCAGGAAGCATCACTTCTTCCCTGAAGATCAGGTTGTTTGCAACAATGTCCTCATTTATAAGCTCAGGTGCCCCATGCAGTGCAAAGGCAGTGCAGGCTGGGGATGGGCAAGGCTGAGCCCCTGTGACCAGGAGGTTGTGGAGGTCTTTTCAGTCCATAGTTTTGTTGTGGCTTGGCCTAAAGAAATCTGATTCGTGTATCCAGCCTTGTGAACCAAGAAATGGGGTGCCCCAGTGTTTCCTTCAGCCAGGAAGGGAATGCCACCAGGAGTAAGCAGGATTTTAGTGACAGTCTACCCACCCTGAGAAGGGTGGATCCTTGCTGCTCTCCTCTTGGAGCTGCACAGATGTATCCACGGTCACATCCCAGCAGGGCTCAAACCAGGCACTCTGTTCACGTTCTTTCCAGGTGGGAGCTGAATTCAGCCAGACCTCTTGGGGTGGATGGACTCCCCTGGCACACGGGGAGAGGTGCCCATCCCCTGGGATGGCGGCCAGCCCGTGACTCACTCTCTCCTCCCTGTGCAGAGAGCCTGGGCAGGATATTTGGGTGGTGCTCAAGTATTTGCTCACAGGACACCACCTCATTCCAGGTGTGTCAGGGATGAGTGGGAGATTGTGTAACCTCCTGGGGAGGGGAGACCTCCTGGAGCTTCCAGCCTGCTGCACGCTCAGGCTATCGGGGCCCGAGTCTCAGCTCTGCGCTGCTCCCATCCACCCTGTTGTGCTGGGGCTTGGGGCCACCATTCATCTCCCTGAGCACCACAGCTTACCCCAGGAAAGGTATCCATGGGGCACAGATGGGGTAGGAGGGATGTTTAGCAGGCTATAAAAGACATGTTGTAGCAGGCATTGATGCTTTGATGATGATGACGAATGCTCTGCTTGGGCTTTTTGGCTCTGTGATCCCTGGATTTAAGACCCTGTAGAAGGGGTCTCTGCTGGAGCACAGCAGTCCCCTGTTGACTTTGCTGACGTGCATTTTGCAGGCAGGGAAGCTGAGGCATGGCCAGGAGATGCTGCCAACCCAGAGCCCCCGAGGGAGCTGCTGTGTCGCAGGCCCACACCACCCTCTTGAGAAATCAAAACGAAGGGAGGAGTTGGAGGAAAGGGACAGGAGGATTGCTATGAGCAGGAGTGCTGGGGCTGCGCCTCCTCCAGAGTTACATGGGCTCAGCCATGGTCAGCGTGGGCTGAGCTGACTTAAAACACGAGCTCTGTCTGTGGCATCCAAGTGCTTGGCTTGGTGTGACTGTAGTGCTCACTGGCACTTTACAGTCACTTGGGGCTGTAATAAATGAACATCCCAGCATCTGCTCTAGCCTTTGGTATGAACCGTGGAGTAGCTGGAGCCATGATGAGGAGCTGGAGCCATGATAGAGCCATTAAGGGAACTGCTTCCCCCAGTCCTTTGCTGAGTTCAGGGACTAGGAAGGAAACCACATGGCTGGAAGGCAGATGTGGGTGGCTCTGCTGCAGGACCAGCACCTTCCTCCTACCTTCCTTCTCCACCAAAGGCACAGGGCAGGTTTTACCTACCAGCCCTGAAGAAGCGTCCTTTCTTTAGCTGACCCCCATGCAATGTCCCATCGTTGCTGCTCAAACTCTTCCCCTCTGGTGTCAGTCCCCAGGGTCAGCACGTAACCAAGATGCTATCGGTTCACACCCTCCTGGAGGGTAGGGCCGGCACCGTCCCCAGGGGCAGATGCTATTAGAAGCCACAGGACATGAGGGCAAAGGTGGCAGCAAGGTTTGTGCTTCCTTGTCCACAGGGACCTTTGGGGCCGCAGCTGCGGGAACCACCCTGTGCCTTGCTGCAGGTGCTGGATCCAGCTGTTTTGGCAGGGCTCTGGGCTCTCACTCACAGTAGCAGTGATGGAACAAGGGCTGCGATGGTACCCATCACTCAAGTGGTGGCACTGAGGTGAGAGACAAATAGGGAGTGGTCTGATGGGGACCTCCAGTGAATCTTCACTGGGGCAAGGAGGGCTGTAGTTCTGCTATGGCCTTGGGAAATTTGTCCCCAAGCCCTGGAAGCAGCGTGACTGCAACAGCCCCTGCTGTGCTCAGAGGGGCTCGTAGTCTGCGTAGCAAGTCCTTGTCCACTGCAGGCCAGTCCTGGGGTGGCACTGGGCTCTTCAGCATTTCGATGAGCTGAACTACAGAGCACTTTGCATGAGACAAGACTACAGGATGGCAGTTCTGGGTCAGACTTGAAGGGCCATCTCACCCACCTCTACCAGCGGCCAAGGGCAAGCACCCAGGGAAGCGCCTCCAAACAGGGCGAGCATGTTGTGCTGCCTCTGCAGGGTGCTCTCCTGGCCTCCAGCTGTGTGTGGCTTCAGGTCTTCCCAACCCAGATGTGGTGTCAGTGCATCGGGGAGCCCTACAGGGATTTATTTATTTATTTTTTCTCTGCTGCTTTTTGGATCCACACAAACTTTTGAATATCTGCAGTGTCCTGCAGAAAGGAGTTGTGCAGATGAGCTGCATGGTGTGCAAAAAGCCTCCGCCCGCTCGCATTCAGCACACCACCTCTTACCTTCACTTGGCTGAAGGCAACAAGCCAGGCATTGACCACTTGTATGCGTTCTTGCCCTTGGCCACAGCTTAGACTCTTTCTTGGGAGACCAGGAGGGCATAGGGGAAAGGCCTGAAGAACCATGCCTGTGTCAGGTCCTAGGCAGTGATGAAGAGGGTGAGGCTTGCCTTCACCCACCCCTCTGCTTTGCTGCTCCCTCTCTCAGGTCCTCAACAAATGAGCTGGCCGTTCTCATCTCCCGCATGCAGACAAATGCCGACCAGGTGGAGAAGGACATCCTGGAGACACAGTCCAGGCTCAAGCAGGTGCGTTGTGACAGAGGGTGGTGGGAAGGTTTGGAGCTTTGCTTAGAAATGCGGTGCCTAGGATAACAGGTCAGGTGTCTGCTCTGTGCAGCAGTCTGCTGGTGCAGGTTTGGGGGCTGACTCGAGGCTGGGGAGGAACAGAGCACCCCACAGAGCCTCCCAGCCCCTGGGGCTGCATACCGGGGCCTCCCAAATTCTGCCCTCGGTGCTTTCTGCTCAGTGCCTCCTGCTTCCCACAGCCCAGGCTGTCTCGCTTACAGCAGCCCAGCCCTGTGCCTCCCTGCAACCCCAAAGGCAGGCAGCCAGCCCGACCCCCGCTGGTCCCCTGGGCAGGATGATGCTGAAGCAGGCAGCTTGGCTGGGCAGACGCTCCCCAGCTGCACCCTTGCACCAGGGTTCCCCTGTGGTCAGCGTGTTGAGCATCCAGGCCCCCTGTGTTGGCCAAGGAGAATGTTGTGAGGTCTGTGTTGGTCCAGCCAGACTTTTTTTCTACGTCTTCCCTCATCTCCAGGATGCCAGCAATCACCAGAAGAACAAGGCTTTTGAGTTCCAGTCGGAGAACGCCAGGAATCTGAAGGAAGCGGAGACCCTGCTGAAGGATCTCTTTCTGGACGTGGACCGTGCCAAGCGGCTGAAACACCCTCAGGCCACTGAGATAGAGAAAGAGTGAGTACAGAGGGGGACGCTGGTGTGATGGGGGCACCAAGCAATTGGGAACCCTCCTAGGGTCTAGTCTGAGCTCCAGTCATTGCCATGAGAGGTAGAGTTTCACCCTTCCTTCTATAGACTTTTGCCTTAAAATCAGGGCTTCTGCCAATATATTGTAAAGATAGTGGTGTGCAGGGTGGCTGCCAGAGTGTTATCACCCAGGAGTCCCCAGTCTTGTTTGGGAGCTCTTGTAAAAGGTACCAGAAAAATGCAGAGCTAAAAGGTGGCCCTGCTCCCAGGGCAAATCTCCTTTTCCTCTGCCTTTCCTAAAATGAATGCCTTTTGTTCAGGCAAGCACAGAGTCAGAGGTGGGTATTCAAATGGGAGAAGAGCTTCTGTTGGCCTCTGGGGCTTTGCTCCCCATCACTCTTCAGCCCTTCTAGGTGGAAATCAGGAGGGAAGAGTTGTTTCCTAGCTGGGAAGGGACAGCCCTGATCTCCCTGCAGCTTCCTCTTGGGTTGTAATTCCTGAGACATCCCTGGACAAGTGTCCCCACTGCTGAAGGAAGCTAGTGTCGCAAAGGGACAACAAAGTCGCCTGAGTCTTACGAGTGAAATCTGGGCTCCGCAAACCCCACCTTTGTTCTCCCCCTTCCAAACTGACACAGAGACGTGTGCCTTTTCTTCTTGGCAGCATCCAGCAGCTCCATGACCGCATGACGCAGCTATGTGCAGAGTACCGGGCCCTCTACGAACAGCTGAACGTCCCTGATGTGGGGCCCAGGGTAGACTGGGCCAGGATCCTGGACCAAAAGATGGTAACAACAGTTCTTTTTAGATGTACTCCCAGCTTCTGTGAGGCCAGATAATGTCTGCCATTGCCTGTAGGGCTCTGCCAGCCTTCGTGTGCTCAGCATCACACAGGGATGTTGGGAGTGGTGGAAGTAACTCTGGGTAGAAGGACCTACCTCTTAAAACCCTCTGGAGGACCCTTTTGATTGACCCCTTCAGATTAAGAGCTACCAGATGGGGATCAGGTAGAGACGCCCTGCTGTGGGATGAAAGGATGGAAAAGGTAATGTTTCCAAGGACTTTACAGCCCTACATCCTAGGGTTTCACGCTGCAAGGTCTTGGGTATGTGGAGCGCCCAGTTTAGAGTCCACTTGGATTCCCTTGAAAGTCGGATGGTAACTGTGCGCATCCAATGCATGTCACCATGGGAAGGGTGCCCGGTTCAGCTTAGGTTTGTACGCCAGGGTCATATGGCCTGGTTTTCTCTGCCCCTGTGTATGGCTGGAGAAATGGCAGCCAACAGCAATCTTGGTAAACAACAATAAGATCCCTTCCTCCTGGACTGGTATCAGATACCAGATGTCTTCATACCCTGCCAGCACTCGCTGAGGTTTCTCCCTGAAATAAAGGCTTTTGCTTTAGTCTCTGCCTAACTCCTTTTGTGCAGAAACAAGTCAACGCGGGACAGTATGGCCCCGGCATGTCAGAGCTGGAAAAGCAAATAGCTGAGCACAACATCCTCCAGAAGGAAATTGAAGCCTATGGCCTCCAGATCAAGAACCTCTGCTCTGGGGTAAGGCACCCTCTGTCCCCTCTGTGTTTCTGTTGCCTTCGCTTGGGACCCTGTGGGCTCTGCTCGCTGTCTGGCTGCGCGTCCCATCTGCTCCTCTGCACGGTGAACATCCAACCTTGTTCTGCACAGGGCAGACCTGAGCTCAGACAGACCAAGCCATGTAGAAGCCAGGGAGGTGGTTCCTGAATGGTTTCTAAAGCACCTTGCATAAATCAGCTCATCAGCATGTACCACTGATGGTGTTTTGGTAACGGCTTTTTTCTCTCTCTTTTTTTTTTTTTTTTTT